GTCTGGTGTGGTAGATCTGGGCCTCTATTGCTCTGGTGTTTAGGGCCTGTTCTGGGCGGTCCAGGATGAGGGCCTCTGTGCTGTCCTTGAGTCCAGCTTTTTCCAGCCATTGATAATATTTACTGATATCAGAATCCTTCTGGATTCATTCTCCCTTGTGTATCTCTTTAGGCGGCTGGCCAAGGCTTGGAGCCTCTGTTTGGCAGTGCTTCAGGTATGGGCATCTGCCTGTACTTTCTGGGTACTGGTCTTTTCATTGTACCCTTGTGGAGCTCTGACAGTTGGCTCACTTCCCTCCTTGTTACCTTGATTTTAGCCTCTAACCGTCTTTTCCATGGTGGGTATTGGGTCTCATGGTTGCTCTTATAGCCAAGTATCTCAAGGATCACTATATATATATATATATATATATATATATATATATATATATTATATATATATATATATTTGGCCATTATTGTTAAAACTTAATGTTGATGTGTTTATTACAGGCGTGTTCTGGGACAGTTATGTATCGGTTCAACACGGGACGCATATTTAACGGCCAAATATGGGACGACTCCCTATTTCACGGGATGGGCGGCGATCCTATTCAGGGTTGCTGAGATACAGTTTTAAGGGCGCTGGAGCGGAAAACCACAAACGCAAAAGTTCAATCACATAGAAATCTACTGTTAATCTCTTCATGTTAAATAAATAAAAAGTATGACTTATTATTGAAGTATTTAGTCGTTATTCAGCTTGACTCATGCAGAACTGATCTGATCGTTCCATAACAACGATCAGAAGCGAGACCTTGCCTCAGACCTCCAGTGACCTCACTGATGAGGTCATAAGAGACATCATGTACATCACAATAGATCAAGAAGTTCTAAAGTTCTAAATGTCTTGCGCGCCAACACTGAGCCCATAAAGTTCTGTCAGACAGTCAAATCAGCAGCAACAAAAATGTCGAAGTGCTCCAAGAAAATCCATTTTCCGTGCCTTGAGCCACAAGTCTCACTTGACTACAGCGATGAAGACTTGACTAAAGTACGCGAGGATCACCTGAGTGAATCTGACTCAGAACTGGAGCAGGAAGCCAGATAATTCCTGTGACAGCGGGGGAAATCAAAGAGATGCAGAGACGGCTGCAAGATTCCTTCGAAGAACAAGAGCTGCTAAGGAAGAAGGTTGAAAAAAATGAGAATTATATTAAATTACTTCAACGGGAACTGAGGAAGGAACACCACAGAGATCAAAGAAAGGTTGAAGATATGTCACCTGAGTCATCTCACATTCCAGCACCTCCGAAGGACAATGACTCTGTGTGGAACACTTACTGGAAAAAGTTGTCCCATCAATTGAAAATTACTTTGGAGATCTACTCGTCCAGCCAGAGGAACCAATTGCAAAGAAAGAGGACAAACTGAGTCCCAAGAAGTTAGAAGAGAAACATGAAACGGGCGGAACGAGATGCCATTCCACTACAAAATCTTTGCAATAACCTGGACGCCCTGTGCAATTGGAACTCTCGACACCTGTCTCTATTTTGGTTTGTCACATACCTCTACACAGCGTGGCATGGCTGGACCATCCCCATGTTGCTGCTGCTATAATTCTCCGCCTTTCTTTGAATTATCTAATTACAAAAGGCTGGAATATTAACTGGAGCATCGTCCCGGAGCTGACTGAGCCGCTGGGTACCAAAGGCACACCCGTCATGGAGAGAGAAGCTCCATCAGGTTCATGATGTTCTTCATCAAACCCAGAACCTGTTTGGACTGATAGCCGACTCCCTCGAGAAGGGAAAAAATCTGTTGATGTGGGTCAAGCCAGACACGACCATGAAGTTCTACATTTTACTCTGGGTGTTCTTCTTCTTTTTCGTGCTTTTTACCGTATCAGATGATGGGATCAATCTTAGTTTTTTCTGCCGGCCTAAAGTTCTTCATCGTTGACTCCATCTTTAACACTTACCCCAACCTAAAGAAACGATACGACACCTTCGCAGTTTTCTGGGAAAGGTTACCCGTCGACTCACAGCTGAAAGATCACAAAGACGACAAGCGCCACAGCCTGTGTTTGCTGCAACAAGGGCTCGACTGAGCAGCTTCACTGCTGCTCATTTCAGAAACGTTGGCAGCCCGTTCCATTTCCTGAAGAAAAAACCATTTCATGAAATGTTTAAAATCCCAGAGACTGAGCAACCTCTGCCTGAATTTAAGACCGGCTGGCATTGCTATATGATGAATAGAGACAGGAATATAACATCAAAAGAATTCGGCGGGTATGGAGTTCTCTATGTCACAGAGAATTATTTGTGTTATAAGAACTCCATAACTAAGTTCAAAACAACTGTAAAATTGACGGACATCACAGAATTCAAGAGGTATAAGCTTATACCAGGACTGCCCGGCTCAGGTAGGGGGATGTCAATTGCAACGGCGACCACCAAGAAGCCACTCTTGTTTACTGCAATGATACACAGCAAACGGGCGTATCAAGCCGTCTCCTCCCAGATGAGAAAGGTGTTTGAACAGGCAGCTCTGCAGTGTGCAAATATAGAGTGACTTGCACTCTGGTGCTGCAGCTACTTGGGAGGAGCACCAGGAGGCGACGACTTGGGAGGAGCACCAGGAGGCGACGAGGGAACACTGGGACGACTAGGAGGCGACGACTCGGGAGGAGCAACAGGAGGCGACGAGGGAACACTGGGACGACCAGGAGGCGACGACTCGGGAGGAGCAACAGGAGGCGACGACGCGGGAGGAGCACCAGGAGGCGACGACGCGGGAGGAGCACCAGGAGGCGACGACTCGGGAGGAGCACCAGGAGGGCGACGACGCGGGAGGAGCACCAGGAGGCGACGACTCGGGAGGAGCACCAGGAGGCGACGACGCGGGAGGAGCACCAGGAGGCGACGACGCGGGAGGAGCACCAGGAGGCGACGACGCGGAAGGAACACCAGGATATAGTATATATATATATATATATATATATATATATATATATATATATATATATATATATATATATATATATATATATATATATATATATATATATATATATATATATATTATTGAGAAACATTAAAATGCAAATAAAATAAATAAATTCCTTCTTTCTAAAAGAATATACATATATATATATATATATATATAAACACACCTATGTATATATATAATATATATATATATATATATATATATATATATATATATATATATATATATATATATATTATTTGAGAAACATTAAAAATGCAAAAAATAAATAAATTCCTTCTTTCTAAAAGAATATACATATATATATATAAACACACCTATGTATATATATATATATATATATATATATATATATATATATATATATATATATATATATATATATTATTTGAGAAACATTAAAAATGCAAATAAAATAAATAAATTCCTTCTTTCTAAAAGAATATACATATATATATAAACACACCTATATATATATATATATATATATATATATATATATATATATATATATATATAGATATATATATATATATATATATATATATATATATATATATATACACACACATACATTTATAGATACGTATATATACACATATGTGTATCTATATACATGTGTGTATATCTATGTGTGTATATGTATATATTTATATATTATATATATATATATTAATATATATATATATATATATATATATATATATATATATATATATATATATATATATATATATATATATATTATTTGAGAAACATTAAAAATGCAAATAAAATAAATAAATTCCTTCTTTCTAAAAGAATATACATATATATATAAACACACCTATATATATATATATATATATATATATATATATATATATATATATATATATATATATATATATATATATATATACACACACATACATTTATAGATACGTATATATACACATATGTGTATCTATATACATGTGTGTATCTATGTGTATATGTATATATTTATATATTTATATATATATATATACATATATATATATATATATATATATATATATATATATATATATTATTTGAGAAACATTAAAAATGCAAATAAAATAAATAAATTCCTTCTTTCTAAAAGAATATATATATATATATATATATATATATATATATATATATATATATTCACATACATTTATATATATATATATACACATATATCTATATACAAGTGTGTATATATATATATATATATATATATATATATATATAACAATATTTAAACTATCCACTGTTTCAGTTAAATTATTTAAATTGTTTGGTTTTGAGTCAGCTAATAAAAATCTAAGTTTATCATGCTACATTTTTTAAAAATTTAGTTCATATTTCTAATTACACAGAAATAGTGGTTAAATCAGCTGAAAAAATTACTTAAGATAGCAAGGAAACAAAACAGCACCGAATAACAAATGTAGTCTTTTAACACAATCATTTCCCGACCACACTTTTTCCTTCCACTAAGCTTTCTGTTAGTTTGTTTGGATTCAGAGCTCTTTGAACAGCCATTTTATTTTGCAGTTTTAATGATGCTATCATAAATACTTAGACCAGCAGCCTGGTTCTGGTTTAGCCTCTGACCTTTAGAGACAGACAAGAGGGAGGGTCAGCAGCAGCATCTCCTGATTTGGTTTAAGACAAACTTGCATGACCAAAATAAGATAAGGAATTAGAATCTACCATGATGTGCACAAATGACAACCTTTTTGTTCAGAGAAATGCACTTCAGCAGTTAAAAAACAGTGACCTTACGTCACTCTAATCTGCCTACACGAGTATGCTATGTAATGCCAATCAAGCATTGCTTTACATACAGTTTGATCTTTACACCACTATTTTCACCACATACATATAAAAGTGTGACATTGTGGTTTAGATGTAGCGTTGTGTAACGGTCTCAGTGCACATGGGTTGCAGCAGAGCAGCAATGATGATGTCATGTTTTCGAATAGACGCAGTCTGGAACATCCGGGTCCTGTCCCCGTGGCGTCTCACAAGCTAACGCCAGCTAGCGAGCTGTCAAGCTGTCAAGTGGAGAGGCTGGAGCAGACGGTTCAGCTTCCCTCCCTGGCTTGGCCGTTCATTATTCTCTCCCTCAGAAACACAAGAGCCGAGCTTATTCTTTTGCTCAACAGCTGAGATAATGTAATGCAAAACGGGAGCGCGTAAAGAGGGAGCACAGTTCCAGAGTTTATATGCACTGAGTGTTGAGTGACGACAGTTCACTGCTAGCTGTAAGCTAGCTAGCTTAGCCACCGCTAACCCTTACATTTCGTCGTTGAACACCTTCTGGTGGTAACTGCGGACACTCGGTCCCTATTGCACATTGCGTTGCTGTCATTTGATAATTTCTCTGCTTGGTAAGTAATTTTTTTACTCTTTGGCCGACAGCTGCTGGGGGATACCCGGGGCAGTTAGCACTCGATGCTAAATTAGCGTAGCGACGTTAGATTAGGCCAGCTTTGGCGGCTCTGCCTGCTTTAACGTTACGTTAGCACAACAGGGTGAGAAGGCCTGTCAGAGTTAGTGGAGAGGGACAAGGGTCAAGGGCCGCACACTGGCAGGGCTGTTTGTTAATCAGATCCTGGGCTGGCCCTTCATCCAGCGGGCCTAACTGATCCTGACTGAACTGGGCCAGTATGGGAACCAGTTCATGCCCTCACAAGCGGAACTGTGGTATTTGAGCAGGTTGTTACCAACAAACTGGTCAGTCAGGTAGCTAACTCCAGTCTCAGGGTTGGACCATGTCTGTAAAAATGAAGTGGATCACCGGTGGAGAGAGGCTTGTCATTTCCTCAATATTCAACTTGAATACTTGAGTTTCTCTGTAAGACTTTGAATGTTTTCAGCGTTCCTAATAAATAGTCAAAATGTGAACACGTCTACTATTTTTAGACAGAACAGAGCTTTGAATTCAACATTCAAGATGCTAATCTGCTGCCACAGATAGACTGGATACGTGTTATTTGCTTTAACTCACTTCATACATTAACTACACTCTTCACATAGCACCTATTTTATTCCTCTTCACTTAATGTTTGAACAGCTGATCGAGTTTCTTTCCAAGAACGATAACTAATTATAGGTGTTATCTTTCAGGAGTTGTGTGTCAAAACAATCAGCCGTCTGCTGCCATAACATGTTTGGTCATAAGGAGCGGTTGCTGCAAAGTCAATGAGCTTCTTTAGATTAAAAACCTTTTACCAGCTGGCTTAATGAGCTAAATATAATGACACTTTTTGAATTTATGTAATTTAATTTGATTTTCTCTGCTCTATTGGAATCATTCTTTCTATTTTTTGGGGGAAATAAATTGGATCTGATTCATAAAGTACTTTAAGATTACATATTTTTTTAATTGGTGGATTGCTAAGAACAATTTTAGCTGAAAATTAATTACTTAAAACTTTAAAAAACATGGCGATAACTTAAATGATGGCGAGATCATGAGTGCAGTCAAAATATCAAAAACATTGCAGTGTTTAACATATTTTAGTTTCTTTGGCTATTTATGTCCTTCAAGTTACATTAAAACTTGATAAGAATAGAGTTGCACAATCAATAACAATTTATATTTTTCAAAAATATGAGACACATTGCCATGAAACCATCCACAAATAATCTTTGATGAATATTCAGCATTTTTAGCGGTAAAAATATGAGTTTCTTTATATTCATTAAAAAGCTTGAACCCTATAATATAGATGCATCGTTTAAAAATGGCACCAAGGAATATTCTACCTCGAAACTAAGACGGTAAGCATGTGTTTACATATAAAATAAGTGTATTTTTTTAGAATATGAGTGTTTGAAAACTCAAGCTAACGGACAACTTGGTTGGTTTAAAAAGATAAAATCTGCTTCAGGTAAATCAAAGATGGTTAACATCAAACTATGAAATTAACAGGAGTGAAAATAGAATTACAACAGATATTTCAAAGTTTATTTTCTGTTATCTTTGGAAATTTTAAATACTTTAATTAAAATAAAAAGCTCTGTTTTTCAGGTGATAGCACAGCCAGTGGTGGTAGTTAATAAAATAATTGGTGTAGCCTACAATTGACAACTGGAAATTCACTCCTGAATTTTCTCTTTATTTTTAAAATTGAAAATGTGAATCATCAGCTGTGTTAAATAGGCTGTAGCCTTTAAAAATGCCAAAAGTTAAAAAGTTTTACTCCTAAATAGAGACGGCAAAATTTTTCATGTCATTAGAGAGGAATTTTCACACATGAGATTTAAGAATCACATTTCACCCTCTGGTTTTCTGTGTCATAAAAAGCATTTTATGCTGAAAGCAACATTATGTCCAAACAAGTTGATTAGAGTTGAATCTCTTGTCTGGGAGTTTTGCATCTGCCAAACATGTTGCGTTATCCTGGCCTTATGCCAGCTGCAGAAAGGGAATGCATAGCTTAGCTGCAGCGTGACGGCTAAGCTATGCATACATATGGCACATTGTTTGCGAGAATGCCATGCTACCTAGGCAAAGCCGGCCTTTAGGAAAATCTGTCCTCTCGGGCTCCTTGGATGTTCTCTTTGGTGGTGTATGGATTACCCACAGGATTAAAACAAAAAGCAAACTTTCTGTCATTTTGAAAAACAGTCTGGATGTTCTGCACTGCAGAGATGTTTCTCTACGGTTATGTTGTTAAATGTGTGCACACATAAACAGATTAGATGTTTTTTGTTTTCTTTAGACAGCAGTTTTGAAACGATTAATTGTGATTAATCAATTGTTGAAGTAGCCGTCACTTGATTTAGCAATCAATTAATCAGTAACTGGAGAATGATACCTTTCTTTTTAAAGAACAACATGTTCAGAGCAGTAATTAAACCAAAACTGTGCAAAAAATATAAATTTTGCATCTTTTTCTGTAAATATGTTCTGCTCAGTTTTCTTAGATGTTGTTTTAGCTTCACCTGATTGAAATATTTTATCAAACACCTTTTGCTATTAAACTATTATTAAAAAAAAAAGTTAATATTTTTTCAGCCCTGCACTTTGTTGATGCTAAATGAAACTATTTATTGAACTTTTCATATGTTGATGTTAAAAGTACGTTTTTTGCTGCAGATGGATTATTTTTCTTTTAAATGATAATTCACTGAAGGAATGTCATGTTGCAATGTGCTTTATTTTATTATTAATTAGAATTTTGTTAATGTATTTCCAATATTGTTCTAAAAATGTTTAAGCGGTCAAATGAAAAATCTGCAGAATTTGCCAATTTTTTAATGCGATTAATCGTCAGAATACTCGATTAATTGCACATTTTGAACACATATTGATGATAAAATCACTAATCTCTTGCAACGTTTCACTGAATCTGTTTTTCAGGTTGTTGGAGGGACACAATGGGGGCATTTCTGGACAAACCAAAGATGGAAAAGTACAATTCCCATGGCGAGGGTAACAACCTGAGGTATGGGCTGAGCAGCATGCAGGGCTGGCGGGTTGAGATGGAAGACGCACACACTGCTGTGATCGGTCTGCCCCACGGTCTCGATCCCTGGTCGTTTTTCGCCGTGTACGACGGGCACGCTGGGTCTCAGGTGGCTAAGTACTGCTGCGAGCACCTTCTGGAGCACATCACTAGCAACTCAGACTTCCAAAGCGCCATTCAGGAGGACACCAGCGTGGAGAGCGTGAAAAATGGCATCCGCACAGGATTCCTACAGATCGACGAACACATGCGAACCATCTCGGAGAAGAAGCACGGCGTGGACCGCAGCGGCTCCACCGCAGTAGGTGTGATGATCTCGCCAAGCCATATCTACTTTATCAACTGTGGAGACTCGCGGGGTCTCCTCAGCAGGGGGGGAGCCGTGCACTTCTTCACTCAGGATCACAAACCCAGCAACCCGTTGGAGAAGGAGAGGATCCAGAACGCCGGCGGCTCGGTCATGATCCAGCGAGTTAACGGCTCCCTCGCTGTGTCTAGAGCCCTGGGTGACTTCGACTACAAGTGTGTCCATGGAAAAGGCCCAACGGAGCAGCTTGTTTCCCCAGAGCCTGAGGTGTACGCAATAGAAAGAAGCGAGGGGGAAGATGAATTTATTATACTTGCTTGTGATGGCATCTGGGATGTCATGGCCAACGAGGAACTCTGTGACTTTGTGAGGTCAAGGCTGGAAGTTACAGAGGATCTTGAAAAAGTCAGCAATGAGATTGTTGACACTTGCTTGTACAAGGTATGACAAGTCCGCCAAACCTGCATCGACATGTTACTGCGCTGCCTGGTTTGTCCTTGATTTACGTTGCTGCTTCACTATTTATTTATTTTTCCGCAGGGGAGCCGGGACAATATGAGTGTTGTGTTAATCTGCTTTCCTGGGGCCCCGAAAGTTTCTCCAGAAGCTGTGAAACGTGAGGCGGAGCTGGACAAATATCTCGAAGCCAGAGTAGAAGGTACGAAACATTGATTCAATAAAACAAGAGGGAGAGAGAGCAACAAAACTCAAGCAAGAGTTGCACTACTTCAACATAATCAAGTAAAAATAAAAAGTAGACATGAAAGAAATTACTCAAGTAAGAGTAAAAAAGTACTGAGTAAGTGACTAAAACTTGAATAAAGTCTCAGAAGAACCAAAATATAAAGTTATGTGGAAATGTGACAGAAAAACTGAAAGTAATTCCTATGTTTAACAAAATCAGGCAAAATTAAACAAATTCTAATTCATGTAATTTTTTAAATTAAAACCTGTTTGTTCTTCATTCAGGAAAATTGTTCAGTGTTTGGAGTATCCGGAAATTTTACTTAAGTAAGAGTAAAAATTACCGCAAAGTAAAAATACTTATTTTTCCCAAAAGTAAACTGGCTAGTAAGTAGTTACTACCCAACTGTGATATTAATAATATTTAGTTTTAACAGTCTGAGAAGTTTTTTTCTCGTAATATAAAGAGATGAAAAGTTGATCCTAATGCTCCTTTATTTGGAATAAAATCTGACACTAAAACTGTAATTCCAGGAGTAAAAAGCTGCATTAGCAGATATAGAAAACATTTTGATCCAAACACATTTTATTGTATTTGTTTGAGACTTACAGAATTAAACCAGGGTTTTAACTCTTTTATTCTACTCGATCGGGAACGTTTTTGGTAAATTCATATTAACGTAAACTGCTTCGTTGAGTAAAAATTGGTTCAGCTATTTGCTGTTAAAAGATTTCAGCAAAGTTATAATTTTATGGTAATTAAAATGTATCATTTCTTAATGTTTTTTGAGATTTAACAGTAGGTCAGTGTATTTGTTTTGTTTTTCTCATCAAACTATGTTCAATTTATGCAGTTTGCTTTATGGTTACATGTTGAGGAGGAAATTTAGAAATGTACTTGCGTCAAATTGTCAGTTAAGGATTAGCATAGACTGAAACGAACCACCTCTTAAAATCTTTTAAAAATGTTTATTTTTTATAAAATCTTAACTTATCGCCTGCATGAATTGTTGAAATACTAATAATGTGACTTCTGGGGCACTTTTAAACACGTACGTCTATTAAAACAAATGTTTTCATAAATATTTAAGCCCTTGCTTTGGCTTCACTGGAAATGCGTCACACTGTGTTTCTCTAAAGCTAAAGATCGTAACCAACTGATCACTCAAATAGATAACACAAATACCAGAGCCAGGGGGCCATAGCAAGCCGCTTCTCTTATCTGTAGCATCAGACGAAGCTGCACCTCGTTCTGTCTGTCCGTTTGTGAAAACAAACTTTTAATGAGCTGCAGGTCAGTTTTCTGCTTCAAACCCTCATTTCCTTCTTATGTCAAGAAATAAATCAATAACAATATGTAACATTAGACAAGTGATCAATATCAATAGAAAATGGACCCGGTAGAATATTCTATCTGTAAAATATACACTGAACTGAATCGCATTCTGGGAAATGTAGTTGGAGGAAAAGTTTTAGTTTGATGCCGAGCAAGTTTAACTCTCTTTGGTTACCTAGCAACTCTCATTCTTTGGTTGCCTAGCAACGGCCTGTGGAGTAACCTGCGCTGCAGCAGTTTTAGGTTTTCCTGCAGTTCCTCATCACTGCTTAATGATGAGGCATGCAATGAAAATTCTAGATTACACAGGAACGGTCACGAATTTCAAATGTTAAACAAATGAAACAAAACGATTTGTATCAACAATTGTCGACGTTTCATCGGTGGTACAGGCTGATACAAAATGGCTGACGGGCAAAATGAGCACAGACACCCTGATGTTTAATTGAGATACAGGTAATTTTCAGCAACTTGGAGTATGTTCACACAGGAAATGTTAATTCTCAATTAACACTTTTTTTCTTCTTGAAATACGATTTTTTTTTTTTTCAAGGAACCGCAAAAAGTAAACACAAACACAATCAGACTTCTGTGTGGATGATTTATAACCCCAGACATTGACGTCACACTGCAGCACATTATTTATAGAAGCAAAATAGATTTATGGATTGATTTTAAAGTTTTGTCAGCAAAGGGAGCCGACAGTATCATCACAAGATCATAATAAGGAAGAAGCTTTTGTTACGATTCCACATTTTTGTGAATCCAGTTTTTGTCTGGATTCTTTTGGTGCATAATTACGACTCTTATCCGACATCAGTGGCAGAAAAGGCAGATGAAATGCAACACGATGCTTTGAATGAAATAGGAAACGTATCTCATTTAGAATAAATAAGATATTTTAAATTCCTTTTGGTGGAAAGATCTGAATTTAGCCATGAAAAAATTAGATTTACGTCACATTTAGCTGCTATTTAGAGCATTAAAACAATGTCAATAAGGGGATTTTTCTATATTTAAAAAAAGAAAAAGTAGATTATCTGTTTGTTGATTGTAATAATTATATAGGCCAAATTATTCATCAAGTGCAAAATCAGTTTATACTCAGGAGGAGCATGGCAGATGTCACGGTCGGACTTCGGGGAAGCGCCGTGGGGGAAGGTCATGGTGTTTTTCTGAAACCACAAAAAGAAAACCTTGTAAAAGTGCACAGTGCGACTCCACTGAATTGCACACAGATGAAAAAAATGTATGCATGTTTAAATGACCCTGTCTCTTCTTAACACCGCTGAAGGATAAAACAATCAGACCAGGAACAGAAAATGTAATCTGTAAAGTATGTGGAAGAGAGAACATGCAAGTAGTTTGCCTTACCACCTTAAAACCAATACCAGCAGTGCAGCTAACTACAAGTTCCAGTCAACACTGGAAAGAAGCAGGATTTGACACAGACATCCATTACAATAAAGTTACTGTCTTTCTATATATTTTTTTTTCACTCATTTATTTAACTTTTATTTAACCAGGTAGTCGCCATTGAGGTAATGCTGCTGTCTGTTATTGCCAGGTCTCCTTTAAAAACTGATTTTTTTAAGGAAGATCTGGCAATGATACAAATATATGTTGGGTTTTTTCTGTTTCTAAGTTTTATACAACTTATATCATAATATGTATCATTACTGCATGCCACCCATCACCATATACATTGTGATATTAATTTTATGCCATATCGCACATTCCTGTGTTTTTCTTAGAGATAATCAAAAAGCAGGGAGATGAAGGCGTCCCAGATTTGGTCCACGTTATGCGGACGTTAGCGTCTGAGAGCATCCCGAACCTCCCTCCTGGTGGAGAGCTGGCCAGCAAGTAAGCAATACCTTCTGCTATGATAAACTGGGCTTTTTGTTACGATATCCAATAAATTATCTTAAAAACAGGATTTTTTTTTGTTTTAAAATGATTTGTTGTACCCTTGTTTCTGCAGACGAAGTGTTATTGAAGCAGTGTACAACAAACTTAACCCGTACCGAAGCGATGACACTGTAAGTATCCAGTTCTCTTTGCTCTCTGCATGGCTGTGATTGTGTGACCAGCAAAGCTTAAAGTCTATCTGTTGCATGCTTTTATATCTAGGAAGATCCACGTTTTTCTTTTAAACACAGTGAGTCATGGGCTGGGTGATTATGGATTGACTCTGCAACAAGATGATCTACAGTGTCTTAAAATATTCCTAACCGCTGAACCACAAACTTTGGTGAATTTTATTGGGATTTTATGCGTCGGAAAGCACAAAGTGGTGCACGGATGTGAAGAAAATAAAAATTTGTATTCAGTCCTCTTTATTCGCATATCGTTAAATAAAATATTGTGCAACTAACAACTTTCAGAATAGTTTGTTCATTTCAGAGGTTTGTCAGAGAACAAATGGCATCATGGAGACCAAAGACATTTAGGTGATAAACTTTCCAAGATTTAAAAGCGTCTCGAAGCTTGCAGGTGGGAACTGAATAAATGTGTTAAAATTAGTGATCTGTATCTGAAAATATTCAGGTATCATGACAGTAAGTCTGAATTAGATCTATCCTCTCTAACTCTATGCTTTTTCTGAGTGACATCATGCTTTATTACTTATTTTACATTATATTTCTGAAAAAGTTTTCTTTGTTTACATGTTTGACCAGGATAGTCAACCTATTTTTCCAGTTTCTTTTTCATTTATTTTACATTGACTGAACATGTCAAGTTGTGTTGTTTTTATATGTTTGACCAAGCTTGTGAAGCTATTTTTTATTTTAAGTTTTCTGTACCGGTGCAGTTATCCATCAAATAAATTTGTAATTCAATACGTTTAAAAAAGAAAACCTTTTAAGTCCATTCAGCACTATTTTTCTGCATCAGATCGATATAATCTGATGCAGAATAATCTCAGATCGATACAAATATCGGTCTGAGATATTAAATCTCAGATATCTTTATTGGTATCAAAAGTATAAAAATCAGATTGGTGCATTCCTAGTTTAAATGGCTCAGTCAGTCTTGACCTTTTAGAATCTGTGGCAAAATGAGGAAATTGTCTCTAGATTTAAGAACGGATAGAAATCCTGCAGCAATAATTGGTTGAACAAAACATTGATCATTATTCTTTGTTTTTCTTCCACTTCTGCTTTCCTATCCCAATAAAGTGCACTAACGTTTGCAGTTTAAATGCAACTAAATGCGTAAAAGTTCAATACTTTTTCACGCCACTGTAAATCAGCATTAAACTAAAGCATTAATTATATTTGTATTTAAGGTTCCAGTTACACCAGAGTGGATCGTGTTTTTAAATGTGGTAATTAATGTTTGTTTAAATACTTGTCAAATCAGATGTGTTGTGTTTAGGGCTGCTGTAAACGAGTAATCGAATAATCTATTGATAATTCTTACAATTAATCGGGTAATTGGATAAAATAAAACATTGGTAAATCTAACATAATAGCAGTGTTACTATCGCACATCAATATCAGTCCAATTTTTCACATTTGAGCTTCCCAAACAGTTACTTTTCTGTAGTTTAGAAAGTTAATTCGTAACAATAATATCTCACTTTCTAAGTTAATCTGAAGAAAAGTTATACAAAAATCTGAAGCTATATTCGGTGTTATAATAAACAGCCTGCCTATTTGTGAGCAGCCTATTATAAAATAATGTCTATACTCCAGCTTTTCGTTTATGTATTCATCTTCAGGCAGTTTAGTAGATAAACTCTCATCTCGCCCAACCATTTGTAGCGTTTGTGTTCATGTTAGCGACGGGATTCGTCACCTGCATTCGTCACACACAGAAACACATCGACCAGGTATGTGTCGTCACGACGCGCTTCGCCACCCACTTGTCACGACCGGGATGATGTGAAATTTATTTTCCGGTATTTTGACGAAAGATGCGCATCTAAAACTGCTAGTATTACCAGTTGGCAGCCAGTCAAAGCAGATGGAAGCAGTTCACATTTGTACAATTAAAAGTAGCTGAAATGGGCGACATTAACAATGATAACGTTTAAAAACATACTTGGGAAAAAATAGCAGTTTCACTCCTGAAACGCTCTAAAATTTGTCCCAAAGTATATTTTAAGATGCAATACTTGTCAAGAGCATACAGAGCGGATCCTAATACGTACCACAGTTACTAACGGCGACAGAAAGAGCGGGAGGAGCTGTCGGTTACCGGTTACTGTGGTAACCGCCAACTGCCAAGGAAAAACCCCAATGAATGTTTGGTGAAACAATTTGTTGACCAAATAAACCAAAGGGAAAGAAAGAATAAACATTTTTAGACAAACTTCACATTTATAATATCGTTGAAATAAAGTGCTGCCATATATGAACTGTAACAAGCAGAGACTCGAGCATACAGCTGTGTGGTACTCCGTGGAGCATGTGGAAGATTTGTTGTTCAGGTGAACAAATTGAAAAAAGTTAAATAAAAATTAAAATATATTTGCTGTCAATACATATTTCCACTTTTTCTGCATGCTTAGCTTGTTTCTTTTTTTGTCCGATTTTACCAATTCCATCTTTTATTGTTAAGGTATAAAATAATAGTTAAAAAATTAGCAATTTCTTTTAGATTTTAGGTTTGAATCCAACAGAAATGAAGGAAATACAAGATTTTTCTCATTTACAAATTAAAGTAACCTTCCTCTAATGTTTATTGCATTCAGAAAATAAATTATTGCGGTCTTTTGGTTGTTCAGATCCAAAACAGGAAGTTCTTGTGTTTCTGCGACGCCTGTAATAATGAGAAAACAACTTTGTGAGGTCTGTGATATCAAACATCAGACTTTTTGTATTTAAATACAAGAATTTTGAAAAAAAAAATCAACACAACCAATTAGACATGCAGAAGATATAAAGAATTGCAATTCCTCGTCCTGGGAGTTTTGAATTGATTTTACTCTGCTTAACTATATTTTAAATAATTATTTGATATTTTTTCTAGTTAAGAAAAAGCCATGCAGCTAAGCTAGCCTAATACTTGGAATTAAGTTGCATAATTCTATGCACAAACCTACTTTCATTTAACTATAAACTGATGCAATTTGATGCAGTTTGGAGCCTTATGAATGCAATATTTGTTGACTGTCTTTTCTCGTCAGTCACATAATTTAGACAGAATCTCTAGACCGACTGAATAGAAAAAAATGTTTCTAAATTAAAAATAGTTTGACTTAAATAGTGACCCTAAAACTTTGAATGAATCACACACTTAAAAAAGTAATCCAGGCAGACCAGTAAACACTGTAGGTGGTGGAGTTTATTACATGGTTGGATTAAACCCTAAATAAATGTTTTTATTGCTTATCATGAGGAGACTTTTATGCTTTTGTTTGGTTTTTTATCTACATTTCCTAAGAACTTCTGGGGATTCATTTGATGTTGATCTAAAATCTTGATATACATTTAAATTGTTCAACAGAAACTGTTCAATCTGGTAAAAAAAAAAAAAACATAAACAAACAAACCCTGAAACCAATCAATGTTTTTGGAAAATAAATTATGTTTTTCAGTGTTTGACCCTCTGATCACCAATAACAGCTGAGCCGGATAAAATTATGTTCAAGCTGTCATGTTAATGTTAATTTAACAGCTCAGTCTCTGTAAAAAGAGCGCTGATTCTTCTTCACAAGCTTTAAAAAAAATAACAGAACAAATATTTTATTCATGTTGAAAAACTTGTATGTATTTTCAAGGCTATTTTGATATTTATTCCCTCTTTCTCAAAAACTAATTTGCTAAGATGATTTCTCAAAAAGATAATGTTTTCTTAAGCAAAAGAAACAGAATTGTGTAAGAATCATGCTGGATGTGTTATCAAGGTATTTTTGTTGACTTTTCCATCAGTTTGTTGTTTTTCCTCTGAATCCTAATGCTTTGGTCTAACCTGTTCATCTTGTCTGGTTCCTTCGTTGAATAGAAAACCTTCTTTCTGCGCTCCTTGTGGTGAAATCTTTCTTAGCAGTCCTGATCTGCTTTTCACTTTAAGTCCCATCCTTGTCTTCTTCATCAAATTATTTTTTTTTTAATTCTTCAAAACTTTATATTTCTAGTTTCTCGACTTTGCTGCAGTTTACTTTTGCATCCGCTGTTAGATAAATATATTAGTGCTTAAGTTTTTTAAAATTTAACAGTTTATTCTCCTGGTCAACAATCGCAAAGAGATAACACAGTGAATAAATAAACATTTTAGTGGTTTATATGACATTGTTTTCTATATAAGTCAATTTAACAGGAAGAAATAAAAGTAAATGTCAGCAAAATTTCAGCTTGTGAATATTATAAATGTGGTTCTTTTTACAAGGTGCAGAATATTTCAGCAGGTTTAGTTCAATCTGCAACTGGGAAAAAAGTTCCTCGGATTAGTTATTAGTCAGATTTACTTCTTATAAAACTGATTATTAAAACTTTTGAGTCTGAATATTTCTTAAGAATTAACCTCTTTTTTTGTTGTTGCTTTTAAAGGGGCAGCTACTGTCGACAACTTTCTTATTTTCTTGAAGTATTTTTTCTTTATGATTTCTTTTTTTCAATAAAAGTTTTTTTCACCCCTCACCAAAAAAACTAAACACATAAATACACTTGGCCCCTTCAGACTAGCCAGCAGCAATTAGTAAACACCTCGTGGAACTGCAGAGCTCATTATAGCAGCTACTAATCGGTTAAACGTTGGTAAAAATGCAGCTGAATAGAGGAGACATGTTGTGAGTAGAGCCGTCACAATAAACAATAAATTAATCACATAATAAATTAAATCAAGGTCAATAATTTCTTTTTGCCTGATTTATCGTTTTTCTCTTTCTACCAAAAACTGGATGACAAAATTCTTCAATCTGGTGTTTTGGTCTCAACTATACCCTTTACATAATTTAGTTAATTAGCTTTTTTGTTTTATTTTTTTATTTTGTTTATTAGTTTATTTTGGATATTTAAAACGTCTTCCAGTTCCAGTGTAAAATGTTTGTTGGAGTTTAAGTTTATCAATCTTTAAGAATGTGTTCTTGCATTAATATGCCATTATTACCATTACATTACTTTAAAATGGTTCTAAACATCGTTTATCGCAATAACATCTACAATTTATTGTCCAATAAAATGAGTTATCCTGACAGAAAACTGTATATAATCATATTTTCACATACTCTCTTTGAACAAATGGTGGAAGAAAAGTGCAGATACTATTAACTAGAATTTATCGTGACAACAATAAATCAAAATTTTCTTAAGCAGAAATAAATCCTGATGAGTGATGAGCATTAATTTGTGTTAGAAAGGGGGAAACGTGTTGTTTTAATTTTAGTGAGGCCTCAGTTTGCACCGTTGGTGCTGGAAGCTGTGCGGCTCTCGGTGGGGATCCGGCGGGTGTTCAGCCAAAGTCTGAAGGGTTTTTCCTTCCTCTCCTCTCTTGTCAAGGACTCGGCATCTACAGACGACATGTGGTAACACACCCTCCTACCACTAACACAACATAGAGTTTACAAACCACCATCTTCTCAAGACCCACAGCAGCTCAGCTCAGCAGTCTGTCTCTCCGTCACTCTGAGCTTTTGGTTTCTAAGAAGGGAATACATGGGAGGAGGAGGAAGAGGAGGAGGAAGAGTTGCATGCACACAAACCTGGAATAGTGCAGCACCAGTCCACTCTGGAGTTCAGGATCCCCACCATCTTGTCTCCCTTTTTATGTTCACCCTCCTTATTATTCTTCTCTAAAAGTAACCCACAAACAAGTGAGTCCACAAGTTTTTTCTTTTGTTAAATAATCCGCCTGAATAGTAAAGATTTTCTTTTGCTGTAATTAATTTGATTCACATTTCCTTGTGTGTTTGTATATTTCTGTTTTTGTGAAGTGCAATTGTCCTGTACAAACAGCCTGTATTTAATGCAGCTTGATTTTAAGTTTAAGAACGAGAAAGAGAGAGAGAGAGAGAGGGGGGCAAAAAAATGAAAGAAATGGAAAAAAGAGAACTTTTTATGCACTATCTGCCTTTTTCTGCTCTTCTGAAATTCAAATGTTTATTCAGTGAATATTACCGCAGCGTCCGCAAGGCACAATGTCTCTGCTTTTTACTTTCTTCTGCAACACTTTTCCTTTTTTCCCCCTTCAGTTAGTCTATGCTCCTTTTAAGAAACGGGTAAATTGTATAATTGACAGCACAGTAAGCTCTCTATATCAAACAGTTGAAATCCTCATCAGTTTTGTTTTGATTTTACTTTCATAACAGGTTTTCTGTACACACTCTAATAATAATAATAATAATAATAATAATAATGGCAGTTTGACAGAACAAAGTGGAAAAATCGTTCTTTTTGTCCATTTTTAAGAGGCATTGACTTACTGGTGTTGACTGTTTGTGGATAGATGTTTGCAGGCGTGTGTGTGTGTGTGTGTGTGTGTGTGTGTGTGTGTGTGTGTGTGTGTGTGTGTGTGTGTGTGTGTGTGTGTGTGTGTGTGTGTGTGTGTGTGTGTGTGTGTGTGTGTATAGCTAGGCTGTTGTATGGAGCTGGAGTTTAAGGGAAGAGTCCCCCCCGACCCCCAAAAACCGCCATGCTTTAACTCGGAACAGCTTTGGATAATAAAATAAAAGATGCTGTTATTCTGTGACGAACTAAGTTAACCCGATTTGGCCTGAACTTATAAATTTATTGTGTCATATTTAGAAAAACTAATTCCTAAACATCCAAGTAGACCACTATAGGTGCCATATTTTGTTATTTTTAATCTTTATTGCAGCCTATGCAAATTAATTTCTGTGGTTTCCTCATCAGCTAATTTGATTTGAACTGTTTTAAGCACTGATTTTCTAAGATTAATGTTTTAAAAAGAAAAACTATTGGCTCTTATTTTAATAGGACTATTTATTTCTCCTGGTCTTTATGTGAACCAAGAACAAATGCATCACTTAAATCTGTCCTGCTTCACCATAAACCACAGCAGAGAGTTTGCTGCTGTTTGTCTGTTATGTGGGTTAAATTTTTTTAAAAATATATATAGATATATATTTCTAATTTCCCCCAGAAAATAACTAAATAAATCACTGACTAAACATGTATTTAACAACACAGTAGATGTATTTCTGAAAGAGAAATGCTTTTATTTCAGATTTCTGCCATTTTCCTTTTTGTCTTGCATTGTTATGATTTTTTTGTATGTATATAATATTTCTGGCCTAATTTTTTTTGAGGAATAAATCATTTCGCTTGAGTATTTTTTTTCAAATGCCATTTAGCCTAAATGTGAAATCAACTTTTCTTCTAATCATTTTGTAAATGTTTCATTAATGTAGAACAGAGTAATAATTTGCTAAATTTATAATCTTTAATTTATCTTTAAAAGAAAAAATAAAAAGACAATCCTAACTGCTTCGCCACATTTCTGTTTGTGGCGAGTTGTTAAATCGTAAAAATCAGACTTCAAGCTGCTTTCCTATTGTGCTTTTATGGCAAAAAAATAAAAATAAAATCCCCACCAAAGACCTTTCTGATTCGACAAAAAGAAAAACCCAACCAAACTCCTGCAGTGTAAACAAAAACTCAATTTCTCTTTTTATTTTTTTTGGTTTTTAAAGGTACTCGCTGGTGTTTTGGTAAAAAAAAAGAAAAAAGAAAAAACGTTTCCTTTAGGTGGCTGCAGGGGGCGCTAGTGTGGATAAGAAGAATTGGTTTAATGTGTCTGAAGCAGGATTAAACTTTAAGACTGAGAGTTCAATTAGTTCAGAAACACTGAACATAAGCTCCACAGAACCAGTCGGTTTATAAACTACTAATAAAAGTTAATAAATTATTTAATCAAAGCGACATAAAGATGAAAACAGATGAACTGCAGTGTGTTTAACTCCTTCAAAAATGTAAAGAACTGTATCTACATTCTGTAAAATAGTTGGACTTATTCACCGTGTTTGAGCAAAGATGATTTCTATTGTATATAAAAGCGTATTTTGTTGTTTCTTTGTTTGTTTTTGGTCAAGCAGCTCTTTTGATTTGCTCTGCATTGCTTGTATTTAAGCGCAGTAGATGTCTCCTAACACCTGCCAGCATTCACACCTGGTAGGTATCAACCTCTGCATCACTTATTTTAAAATTAGGAACAAATGTTTGCTTGTGTGATTTACAGAAATCAAACTGCTTTTAAAAAAACCTGTTTATTAAGTTAACTTTTATGTTTTTTGTTGTTTTTAGCAAATATTTGTGTTTGCCCATTCATCCTTTTGCCGTTATTTTAAATGAACTACGAATGATCCCAAACAATTTCTGATGAACTGGAATACCTCATTATCTTTCTGGTAGTTTTGGTCGACTTTTAGCTCATTTTAGTTCCTTTTTGTTGTCGTTTTAAAACCCGATTACCCAATTAGAAGTGGGAAATGCCATAGTTCAGGGTTTGAATTAATAAAATACAGTGGATGAGGAAGCTTCTGCTAACGACACTGCAAAAACACAAAACCTATTTAAAATATTTTCCTGTCTTGGCATGCTTTTAATAAGACAAAACTAACTTGTTTAGCAAGATAGTAGTTCCTTAATACTGATGGAAAAGGCGCCAGCTCTACTGACAGATTATTTCACTTATAAAAAGATATTTTTATCATGTTGAAAGTGAAATAATTTGCCAGCAGAACTTGTAAATTTTCATCAATATTAAGGATATATTGACTTAAAACAAGCTCATAAATTTAGCTAAAAAGTTACTTTCAAGTGAGTATATGTGTTACAATATTTGCAGTAGAAATGGACTTTGTGTTTTTGCAGTGTAGAAAAGAAAAATTTCAGTCCAACACTGCAAAAACACAAAAAAATTTTTTGCTCTATTTTCTAGTGTAAATATCTTAAACTAACTTACCAATAACTTTTCAGGAGCTTCATTTAAGTAAACATTTCCTTATTATTAGTGGAAAACATTCTAGTTCCACTGGCTGATTATTAAAACAAGACATTTTATCATGTTATAAATTAAATAATCTGCCTGTGGAAGTAGAATTTTTTCCAACAATAATAGGGAATTATTTACTTAAAACAAGCTCCTATATGTTGCTGAAAAGCTACTTTTAAGATATTTGTCTGATTTCTAGTGTGTTAAGATCCTTCCATTGGAAACTACAAAAACACTTGCTAAGATTTTGTGTTTTTGCAGTGTGTGAATTATTTTTAATGGCTTCTTTTCGTGTCGTCAAACCTTCTCCGATCCCCCGCTGAGTGGGCCGCTTTTCTGCAGCAGGGATCGCTGCCTGCTGCAGCGTGCCAAAGCAACATCCACAGAAACGTAGTTGCTGATTGTTGTGCGACTAAGTAAGTAACAGTAGTCATATGCACTGATCATCTGTCTAATCATCTAATTTTGTTATTGTATAAAATGAATTATAAAGCTATTTACAGAGTTACCTTTGGTTGCCTGGAATGCATCCTGTATATTCTTGTATGGAGGACTACCTAGCAGACTAGAGAGATTTTAAATGCTCGCGCCCCTCATGTACATATCGATGTACCTGTGTCGTGGCGTTTACTGTGTGACCCTTAGTGGTGGTTTTTCGTCCCCTTGCTGGGTGACCCGAGCCTCACTTCGCTGATCTTTTTTCAGCTCATGAATAAGCTCACCGATTTGCCTTACCCAAATCTCATGTTGCCCCCTTTCACCTCCTGCACTGCAAAAACACAAAATCAGAAAACAGTATTTTTGTTCTACGTTTCAGGTCAAATAATTTAATTCGCTTGAAAACTAATTTCCAAGTAACTTTTTAGCAATATGTTGTTTTCTGTCAATAATTTCTTGATATCGATGAGAAAAAAGTACTTATTTCACTTGTAACCCAACATTTTTCCAGTATTATAAGTGAATTAAGTACTGCACTGCAAAAACACAAAATCTTCCTAAGTATTTCTGTCTAGGTTTTAGTGCAAGTATCTTAAAATAAGACAAAACTAACTTGCAATTAAATTTTCAAACAGATATAGGAGCTTGTCTGAACATTTAATTTCCTAATGTTGATTTAAAAAAAAAAAAAAAAACTGTACTAGTTCCACTGGCGAATTTTTTTTTCTCTTATAGTTTCATTTTTCTCATATTTTAAGTGAAATAATCTGTCAATGGAAGTATTACTATTTTTTTTAATAAATATAAAAGTCCTGATAAAGGAATTAAATGTTGAAAGAATCTTCTATCTTTCTGAAAAGTCACTTGTAAAGTCAGATTTGTCTTAATTAAAGTACAAAGACAGAAGAAACCAGACAAAAATATTTGAAAAGATTTTGTGTTTTTGCAGTGTAGTTCTTTTTCATGACTATTAAATAACTCTTAACTTAAAACAAGCTCTCAAAACTTGCTTAAAAGTTACATTTAAGTTAGTTTCATATTTGCAAACTAAGCAGAAATATTCTGACATTTTGTGTTTTTGCAGTGTAAACTTATTGCCCTTCCACCTCCACTAAATAAAAAAATAAAAATAGTTTAAAAAAAAACACTACGAGGATGAACACTGCTGCTGACATTACAGCTTACAGATGAGAAACTTTTTATTTTTTAAGGTACTGAATCTGTCCCGGCTGTCACAAGGTACAACTTTCTACCCACGTCGCCACATCTGGTCCCAGACAGAGGCTTGTTTTTATTTCCAATGCAAATGATGTCATACATTTAACGAATGCAAGTGTTTTGAACATGGTAACCTCGTAAAGCATTCAAGGTGTGCAAACATACATTAATGTACCTGCTCTATTTATGATCACATAGAAGAATAGCTTTAGAGTGCTGTAGTTAAATATTGTCAGTGTTGATTCAAATGCTTCTCAGAGGCCTCTGTGAGTGATTTTACAAAGTTCAATAACTGTATATTTTGTATTATGTTCTAGCTCCAAAGGAATGACAGAAAAAAATGTTTAAAAAAAAGCTTTGTTCCCTGAACTAAATTGTATTATTTGTGTTGTCGATTGAACAAATTGCATTCCTTGCTTGTGAATAGATGCATTTTTCTCCCTGCTCCTTAAATTTTCTCCTTCTTTTCCTTCCTTTCTTTCATTTTTTTTTTTAGCCATTGAAGTTTGAATAAAATTTCTAGTTTGCAGAATGTATTACTAAATAAATGGGTTGTCATCTTGTACCTCTCATATTTCATCACTCTTTATCTTCCCTTTGTTAAAGCGAGACTTTCTCAGAGTGCGACAGGTAAATGAGTCGTGCAGACAAAGCTGCTTTATTTTGCTACAGCTGCAAAAGGATGAATGGGGGATCAGAACGACAGTCTGAACTTTCTCTGCATCAGAACGTGAAGCATTATTCAGATAACCAAACTGATTATTTTCTCACTCAGACGTTAAAGGATTGCAGCAGTTCTTCCATATTGCGTTTAATGCAGTTATTGGACCATTTATACAACATCTGGCATGTTTGGGGGATTTTCTCCTAGAAATTTAAATGCCTAGTTATGAATCCATGTTGAATTGTCTTTCTCATAACTATTGCTTATGAATGATAAAACATCTTTGTGGCTTTGTGCTGTGAAAAATATTTCCCTCCTTTTGTATTTCTTCCATTTTTGCTATTTCCGTTGCCCTTAAATCTGGGGTCAAAACAAACTACACAATATTTAAATAAAACGTACTATAATCTGTAAAGTATTATTTGCGCTAAAAGAACGTGATCCAAGTTTTCCTTTTTTAATTTAAACCCTCCCTTTCAGCCGTTTGTGATGCTTTATATCATCAAATTCAAATGAATGCAAGAAATGTAGTTAATAAGACATTAATAATTTATGTTGTTGCTTAAGTTTTCCCTTTTAAGACTGATTTGTCTGCATTTTTATGTTTTTGAATCGGTAAATATGTGTTTTATAAGTCTTTGCTATTTCTGAAATCATTAGAAAAGGCTACAAACGGCAATAAACTAAATGTTTCAAATAATTACATTTTAATATCAAAAAACTGTTCTCAAGTGACATGATTTGATGGAAAACAAAACTTAAACTCCAGGGTGAAAACGTTTTGAATTATCTGCCTATTTTTTGAACTGTGAGCTTGAAACCAAAGTAAAACTCCTTGTTGATGCACAATCAGTAAGGCTGATTCTCGTTCTACTGGGTTCGATTTGATGTTGAAAGACGTTAGAATTAGTCATTTGTATTCACTGACAACAGGAAGTAGACTCAAAATTCTCTGAAAAGCAACATGTATATCCTGATCTAAAGAAATTCAGGTACAATGAAAAGCAAAAGTCCCTGAAATCTGTTTGGCAATGTTTACAAAGCCATTATTAACCACAAAAACTGCCATTCCATTACAAATGTGTGCAAAACTTCATCAGTATTCCACTCATGTAGAAAAATATCTCCCTGATACTTACAAGTAACTTTACCTCAAGATAGAAGAACTTGTTTTAAGTCAGTAATTCCTTAACATTGATTAAAAAGTTCTAGTTCGACTGGCATATTATTTCACTAATAACATTGTTAAAAGTTTTGCTATTGACCTTTTGCATGTGACGTCACGCTCCGCCAAGATGGACGCCAAGCCACCAATGCGCTCCAATAAAGCCCGCCAAAAAGCGGCCATCTTGGTAGAGCCCAGTGTCGCTTTTATTTCGTTTATTTCACTGTATAAATGGTCGCGGTCAGCTGCACAGACAAGGCTGAAAACCAAACGTGTCATTTTATTGTTCAGCTTTTAAAGAGGAAACAGTGAAAGCAGCAGTGGTAGTGACTGTCAGCGCTTGGTGTAATCGCGGATTTTCAGCACTTTTTATAAGGTAAGAAGATTAACATTCATATCCTTTATAAGTAGGTATGATTAGAAATATATCAAATATCGCATTATGGAGAAGGTAACTATTAGCACCAATGCCCACCATCATGTAGCCTAGCATATAAGGAAAAACCTGGTTAGCATCTCGTCTTTTGTACCTTTTCGTGCTGCTCCGGTGTAAAGAGAAACGCTGTTTGTGATGTAGTGAGGCAAATCATGTGGTGTGACTTCAGGGAAAGAGGTGATTAAATCAACACATAAAGACGGAGGAAATATGGGTCGGTTTTTCAGCTAGCTATTTCCAACTTTTGTAAATGTTTCTGAGGCCCAACCAGGTGTGTTATTATCTGGACTCGATCAAGCAGAAGCCACAAAGAGTGGTAAAAACAACTTGGGTAAAATTTCAGTTGCTCAGTTCAATTCTCCCAATTCCTCTCTTCAAAGTCCAACATGGCGCCTCGAATGATTGACGAGTTGCAAAGGCTTGATAAGTGAAATAATCTGCAGTGGAACTAGAACCAAACACCAGATCCTCTGGCACTTAAACATGAAAATATCTACCAGTGGAACTTGTGTTTTTCATATGTATTGAGTAATTACTGGCTGAAAACAAGCTGGGTGAAAAGTTACTTGTAAGTTAGTTTTGTCTTTTTTCCAGTGAACTAAGACATTAGCATTACAAGCTAGACTAAAAATACTTGGTAAGATTTTGTCTTTTAGGTCGAGGGAGTTACTGTTTTTTTCCTCATTATAGATGAAATATCAGATGAAATGAGTGAGAAGGTGAACATTTTGCACAGCGCTGCCCGGCTCTTTGACCTCCCTGCTGGTGGGAGCGTGGAAGTGGCGCGAACCCAGGGAGGGTCAGGGCGGTCTGCGGCCACCGGGATCAGGAACCGGGGGAGGGATTACTTTAAATGTCAACATAATGTCATGAGCCGTGCCAGAAGGTCAAATGTTCAAATGGCGCTCAGTGGCAGGCACTTAATAGATCATGTGTAATTTGAATTGTGCTCCCTGTGATAAATTGATCGACGCGAGTTATATTTGGACCCTGATCTGGTGCATAAATGCGCAGCGGCGAGACACAACTTGAATGTTGCCATTTGAAGTGTTAAAACAATTTAAAAACATCTTGAATTTTTTGCTTTCAGTGAAATTCTGATGCATCAGTTGAAAGAAATATTCAGGCACTGCAAAAATACAAAACCTTAGCAATAATTTTGGTTTAGTTTCCATTGCTAATATCTTAATACAGTTGAAATAAGACAAAAATAACTTACAAATACCTTTTTGGCAAGACATAATAATTTATTTTAAGACAGTAATTCCTTCACATTAATTTAAAAAAAGGTACTGGAGAATAAATTCAAAATATTTTGAAATAAAGTCATAATATTGTAAAAATAGTTATATTTACAGGATAAAGTTGTGATACTCTGACTTTATTCTCGTATTATTATGTTTTTATTGTTTTTTTGTTTTTCTTAATGTGGCCCTAATACTTTGTCGCAGATTTTTAAAATGTTTTTAAAGATAAATAATCTACCAGTGGAATTAGTACTTTTTCAACAATATCAAAGAGTAATAGACTTAAAACAAGCTCCTGTATCGTTCTAAAAAGTTACTTGTAAGTTAGTTTTGTCTTAATTCAAGTGTAGTAACATATTTGCACCAGAAACTAAACCAAAGACCAGAGTTTCCGTTTTTGGTCCACATCAAAGTTTGATCGCTGCAGTTATTTTTCTTAAAACGCATCTCTTCGAACCAAACTGGACTTTCTGGGTAAATGAGTTAGAGTTTAATTAAAGTAACTAAACGGACAAAAAACTAAAAATGTCCTGACTCTAAATTTGACCCTGTTTCTTGTGGATTTTTTTCTTGACTACTGTTTTCCTTCCACTGAACTTTCCAAATAATATATTTAGATACAGCCACTTGACGGTTCTGTGTATTGTTAAAATTTTCCACTAGCTGTAAGCTGTAATCATAAATATGAACAGGAATAGATCTTGTAACAAATCCACATATGGGTTTCACTGTAGTAAATTACAGACATAAATAAAATTTTGATGATATTTTAATTTACTGAGATGCAGCTGTGTGTGCCAGAGGGGGGCAGTGTTAATAGTTAATAGCTGTGAGTGATTTGAAACAGCTGAATCACTCAGTGGGACTAATGCATATCTGAGAGTGGAGTGGATTCAAACTTTTGACATATTAATCATCTAAAAGTTGGTACTCTGATAGTGCTGCACTGCAAAAACACAAAACCTTACCAAGTAGTTTTGGTCTAAATTTTAATGCAAATATCCTACTATACTTGAAATAACACAAATTTAACAAGTAACTTTTTAGCAATAAATGTCAATAACATTGTTGAAATAGTGCTAGTTTCACTAGCAGATTTTTTTCCAGGTCATAAGTGAATAAATCTACCAATACAACTAATTTTTAATTGTTTATTTTTAAAGACAGAAAATATGTGCTTCCTAATACTTTTGGTAAAAAGGATTTTTCAACCAAAAACTCTTTTTTTGGAAGAGGTGAGCATTTATCTCAATTTAATATATTACCTACCAACTGTAATTAAATATGTTTTGTTTCATGTTCCTGTTCATTTTACTGTACCTAAAAATAAAGAACTGCTGACGTAAAGGAAGCTTCTGTATATATTTATTTTTGTATCGTTTCAACAGTGCAGACATGTTTGGACTAGAAACCAAACAAAAATACTTGGTAAGATTTTGTATTTTCTCAGTTTGATCCATTTCCTTCTTGAGTCCAGGATTTAAAGCTAATTTAAACGTGACAGAATTACAGTTTTCACCTAAAATAAGCCACGTAAAGCCATTTGTATGCCTCTGTGAAGCGTCTGCATGTCAGAACTGAATGTGACTCATTAGATCTGGGGCCACCTGTGCATCCATAATGACTCACGCTGCCCTCATGTTTCCCGCACATCAAACGGGGAGACCGGCGTCCAATGCGGGCCGGATCGTCATCTGCCTGCCTTTGTTGAGCGCATGTCATGCTCTGATACTCATGGCGGAAAAAAACCCATCTGAGCCTGACTAATGCAGCCGCGGCAGTGAGAGGCGGGGGGCGGCGGGCGCGCTGGTGCACTCTGGGTGCACGGTCTTGACACTGAGGTCACTGAACTCCACATTGGTTAATTTGCCTCAGAGAGAATCAGGATCCGGATCCTGGTTCCTCGGTGAAGATGATGGATTTGCTTCATTTGGAGAAACAAATCCATCATCAACTTTCAAAAATGTACTTTTTGTTGTATTTGTACATTTACGTGGGTGATTTTTTTATTGCTACTCAGATTTCTGGATTTTCGACCCACTGAATGAAAAAT